TGTATACATATACATACATATATATATATATATATATATCACAATGAGTGACAATATTTGCTATCATCTCTCAGAGCGCGACTGGTATATCTTTCCAAAGCTTAAACTTCTACTCAACAACCATCTGTGAAGTTAGCACATACGTTAAGTAATCATATCAACAAAAAAAAGCACTAACAGAATCTTAACAAAATGGGTTCGTAGAAGATAGATGTACGACCCCATATATTCACGGCATTTTGCTGCACTACCCGATATAATCATATCACAGACGAATTGAGCCATATTCACATATATGTGAACATACCTTCCTGCATGTGCACGGAAGTTCTTGATCTTGGCTTCAGCGCCGACATCTTCACTGTCCGAAACGCCCGCCGATTCAACTGCACCGTAGCAGTGCTTGTCAACGCTTGCCATTATATATATCTATATATCGCCTTATACTATCGTTCAGAATATATGCGCGACGTTGCAAGTAAAGTTTAGCAGTTTCTAAGGCCTACACTGTATTTACTAAACAATAATAGCTCCAACTTCTACTTTTAATAAAGATATTCACAGCGAGCGTAGTCACCAACTCCACCACATGCGTCGTTTATTGAATATTGCGTAGGAACTAAATACATATGTATATGATTGAAGACAGCCTTGACTCGTGATGACTACGTACATAAATTGGACGACTGACACAAGACGTCTACGATATCGGATACAGTAGACACTGAATGTATGTCCAACAAAATTTTAATACGGAATTCATGCGCCCCACCAATGGGAAATGGTGTGTCACGCATTTGGGTGTGATTCATTGTCCAGGACTGAGGACACCGGGACAAGGGAGTGTAGGACACTGGACCTAATTAGCTCCGGACTCTAAGGTCTAAACTAAAATATTATAATTTCCTAAAATATGTATATTGTATGTATGTATTTATGCCCATCCTGCCATAGCCTTCTAAATTGAAACAAGGCTATGATCCTGCATCTTTTCTTTAGAACAAGTGCCATAGTGTCTCTCACTCTCTCTTCTGTAGTAGAGTAGTCTCTATCATAGCCTTCTAAATCAGACACAAGGCTATTTTACATATGTCTCTCAACATTTTTGTTATAAAAAATACATACATACATACTTTATTGCATAGAGTGGTACCGAGGATATCGAATCATCGACGTTCAGAATTCAGAACCAGTATAACTTTCCTAGCATTTTCTTCAATGGACTGTAAGCCATCAAGGATGATATGATCAAAGTCAACTGGTGCAAAATGCCAATCACTATTATCAGCAGTCGTCTTTGAAGTTCTCTTTACACTTCCCTTCTCTACCTCTGATGACTCAACGTTTCGAATACCTTTGTAAAAATGGCCTTCGCGTCTATTGATCCTATCCTGCGCAGTCGCTTCACTCGTATTAATCAACACCCACGTTGCCGTGGGGAAATGGTTCCTGAATATGTTTCTGAGGTCGGTGTTTACAAATGAGAAGGATATAATGACTTTCTCATCGCAACGCAAGTTGATTGCGTCAAGTTGTTTGTTGACATAATCACAAGCATCGATTGCAAATTCTTTTCGCTGTTCAGGTGTGGGATACACTCCCCGTGCGAATTTGTCTTTCATCCATTGCGGAACACATACGTCCAAGTCTAAACATGTGATTCCACCACCACTGTTACTCGCAGCTACACCTCCGCTGGTATGTGGTTTTATTGAAACAGTTTGTTTGTGCAATGCAGCAGCCTTTTCAGACACGGATGTTTTACCTGATCCTGGTCTTCCAAAGACAACTACGATCGAATGTTGACCCATTGGGACAATGGACTGGAACTGTTCCAGGGTCATGCATATATGATCCAGGTAACTGATAGTTCACTGCTGTTCTCACAAGAGGATATATTTAGTGTGATTGGCTTTATTGTCGTCTCGTGAAGTCCTCTTTTGGTTTTATGATTTTTATTTCATCTGCGACATTGTCAATTCAGGGTTTAGGTTTAGGGTTTAAGGTTTACATCTAAGTGATAAGGGTTTTCTACAAGTATTTAAGATACGAAGGAAAAGCGACAAACATGTTCTATCTACAAGGTTACGAAGATAAAGCGACTGATTTGCATACAGAGACCCCTAGCACACTTAATCAGAGACAAACATATTATGCAAGGCCAGGCATCACCGTGTTAAAGTTCTCATAGTTATTTGATGTCTTCACTACAGATCCGTCACCAGGGCACGAATGAGATTATGAGATTTTCAAGCACTACATATCATATGTATGGGTGGCTTTAGGGTTTAATGTATCAAAATCCACCATGACAGTGTATATTTACCAAGTGAGACCTGAAGTTTCATGAAGACCGCTGCTTCAGTATGTAGGTTAAGTTGGTTTGCAATAGATATTGGTTTTAGGTTTGTTCTACTACAACCCCTTACGAGCCCATCGGGAACGCCTATGAAATCTAACAAGTAGATCAACTCAGCTACATAAAATGCAATACAACAGAGCAGACTTAGTAGGTGATAGATCAATAATCTAGAACAATATAAAAAATGTCTGACGCTTGAGGCAGTATATTTATTTAGCCTTCTTGCGAGTATCCGTATCTACACTCCCCTCTTCCCGTTCGCGCCGCCTCTTCTCACCCACAGCAGTATTCTGTCGTAGACTCCACATGTACTGCCAAAGGCCATCGCTGTAAGGTGACTGGTAGTTTGGTGCATCGGGTGGGTAGAACCAGTAGTTCAGTGCCGTGTGCACATTCTCATTGGACGTGACTAGGGGATCGTCCGAATCTGGAAGTATATATTGAAAGGTACATGTTGATAAGAAATGGCATGTACACCACAGCCTTCTAAATGGAACATGCACACCCGTGAGATATGGCAGGTAAGTATTATGTATTGTTAAAAGTACCCCGAGACAATACAAGGGAATACAAAAGTATCGTGTGTTACAAGATTCCGCAAAGACGGATTAAATACAGTCCAGTCTCTCATACAATTATATATATACAGCTGATCCACGTCCTGGTAGGACTTGAAACCCCTAAACTATGCACTCAGACATGCTATAATCGTTCTTATACCGAGCCCCAGTGGCATTAGGCAAACACAGAACTAGAAAATATATAGTATTTGTCCACGTTTGTGTGCGCATACTGCCACGGTCACCTCATAACTGCCACTCAATCGCCTAACGACTCCCAGCTGCCGATGAGACTTCATGAACACAGGCATGCATACACAGAACTACACCTGTGTACACATATACCTTTCGATCCAACACTGCCACTGATTGGTGTATCCAGTGTACTCGCAGCTTGCGATGTGACCTCGTGGAACCATCCCGCAGGCAGATATAGCGCATCGCTGGTCGAAAGTTCAGCCACCATTCGCTTAGCGTGCGTGAAGAGTGGAAACGTATCACATATACTACCTTTATCTCTGTGTACGGTGCCGATTTGGCTGAAGCTCTTTGGGTGTTCACCTGAGTTTTCATTTGCATCTACGGTGGCCTCGGGTACGGAGTCGGATCTGGATTCACTCTCATCTGCTAAAGTTGTGAATATGTTTCTTTATAAGTTGAGTCACATGTGTCATCAGACAGCCACGGAATTGCGTCGCAATCTTAGAATATGAGTGCAAATAAGACCAGCAGAATCAAGGCAAAGTGCGATGTGACCAAGCAACTGACACATTACACTACGCCAAATAGCATGAACTCCGACGCAAATCGGTTCAATATCACAACCACCCACTGTCAGCTTATACCCGCATTGCCTTTGCCCTGATCGATTCTTACGTCATGCAACACGAACAGGATCGCAGGCATATACACGTACCCGTGCCCGGACGCTCGCACTTTCAATCAGAACACACTCGGCCGAGTACCCGATTAGCCTTAAAAGGGTGCAATTGCGGCACTGCACCTCACACCCGCTGAATTGTAATGGTACCAGACGTCAGTTCACGACTTACAACGCAGCTGTACACCTCAAGTACTCACATAAATACAAGCTTTACCGAACGGCACACACAGGGATACATACCCTCGTCTCCAGAATCCCGCTCACTATCAGAATCTTTGTTCTCTAAGTCTGAATCGCCAAACGCAACGCCATCCTCATCGAACAGGCCCCCGTCGAAGTCTTCGTCATCAGCGGTGGTTAGTAACAGATCTTCTATCTCCTCGAGCTGGATACATACGAAGAAGTGGACTATGTTCAACAATACAATCAATACACCTGTAACCTTAATCAACGCCAGCGGATACGTATTTATGAGTTCTCTGACTTAAATTCGTTCAAATAATTGGAAAGGCACTGGGGGCTCTGAACTGAGTCAATGTTTTGCAAATAAACCCACAGCACACACCTTTTCAGTTTGTAGTAATAGTTCTGACTCCTTCTTGGCTATACATTTTTTGTCACCGTCGTCCTTGGCACTTGCTAATTCTGCTTCGGCCTTGCTCAACAGATATTCCTGATAGCGTTGCCGGTAAGTGAGACCCATCTACAGCAAAAAGAAATGAACGACAGTGTAAGCAAATGATTAATTTTGAGTTCGATGCACGAGTGTTTGGCCGTTGCGTTAGTAGCACTTTCTAAATGTAAACAAAGAGATGGCATATATATGTATACATATACGTGTGTGTGTGTGTGTGTGTGTGTATTTGTCATATATATATATGATATATGTTATACATATATATATATATATATATATACGATATCAATATATCAATATATATATATATATAGAAATATATATATATATATGTATATATATATATATATATATATATATATATATTTATTTATATATATATATATATATATATATATATATATATATATATATACAAATATATATATACGAACATATATATATATACATATAAATATATATATATATATATATATATATATATATATATATGTATATGTATATGTATATATATATATATATATATATATATATATATATGTGTG